CGAATAAAAGGAAAATATTAAATTGATAAATTAAAGCTTCTAATGCTACCATTCCTGCCACAACGCCTAGCAACAACTGCAACAAGAAAAATAATAATTCTATATTTTTGTTTTACTTTTATGTAAAAATTTCCCCCATCTCATCATATCTTCTAAATGTACTGCTAATATTGTCTGTCATAACAATTAGGAAGTACTTAAATAATTTCAAACTTGTATTCTCATTTTACAATCCAAATAGGACAGATTATAAAAACAGTCAGCTGCTCTGATATTTCGCCAGTAGAAGACGACACGTTAAACGTCGAGCTTTAAACTCAGCAGGGTTTCTACAAAGAACAACATGGCCGCCGATTAGCCAGCAGAAAACGCCTTGGACTCGCATTCGACGCCTCCGTGCAACGCCACGACCTTCCCCTTTTGTTGAAGTCCTGGTGTGAGCTCATCCTGCTGATCTGCTCTTTTAGCGCCAGCCCCATGCAGGGGAGAACATACACACAGATGCACAAAAGGGGAGGGCAGACATCTGGTACATGAGAGCTATGATTAATAGGTTAATTAGAAATGGTGCTCTTCAGAGTCACTTTGCACATTAGAACCCAATTCACACATGAAAGCGCTTACGTTGCGCTTTGATGCGTACGTGATCCTGCTGAGTGTGTGTGTCATCCGGCCTTCAACCAATCAGAAGGACCCTTAACCCATTTGGGTGTCACTGATCAGAGTCATTTCCCTATCTGATGGCTAAGCAGCAAAGCGGCTGGATAGGACTTGATTGTTTTATCTCTTCCCCTCCCAAAAGAGCTGAGCTGGCGAGTGGGACTGCCCGCCTTCACAGAGGCGGTATCCAATTCTTCTATGTCAGTGTAATTGACTTCTTCCGACGGCTCTCTGAAGCGCCTTTGCCAACGCGCGCGCAATGCTAACCCGGCGCCACCAGAGGCTAAGAGGTTAGCTGAAATTTGCCGCGGTGCTCCAGAGTCAGATGTTGAAATTCAATGACCTGTCAGAGGTTTTGACAAAAGCAGAGCCGACTTGCTGCTTTACATTATTTTTACATTCTGAAGAAAAACAAAAAAAACAGCTTAATACTCTAGAGTGTGGCGCGCGTCGCTGAATATTTAGAGTCCGCCGTTGACACTTTGATGAGTGAAGTCTCTGGAGTTGAAAATTTGCAACACTGGACAGATATTTTCGAGAGCAGGGCTCGTGATGTATTGCCATTTTGTCCCTCGCCGAATACTTCATTCCTCCGAATGCGTTTTATCAGGGGAGAAGAGCATTACACTAAATTTGGCTTCAGGTGTTTGATGTATTCGCATTTCGCCGTCTCGTCTCTCCCAGCTGCGGTAATTGCGGCGCAGGCCTGTTTAGAATCCCTGATGTTCTGACTGCATAAGTAATACGGATCATTATCTTGTCCGCGGCGTTGCATTAAGGAATTTAGCGAGCGGCGAGCTGATCTCTCATGAGTGAGGACTGAAAGGAGACTTTGCCATGATTTCTTTTAAACATGAAAGTATACACATTTATGGTCTCCAGCAGCTCTGTAATGATGCATTATGGATGATGAACCCACTGCCTGTGTGGATCACTCTTAGATTTGAGCCAATCGAGTGTGTCAGAGTACATGATGTGCTTGATCTGAAGTAGTTTGATTCGTCATACTTACCTTAGAACACTTTATATAGTCAACCGCCTGCCATTTTTTATTTGTCCTTTAGAAAGCGGAGAGTGCACTCAAGAATTACATAACTGTCTGTTCTACTTTGCAATAGGCTTTTGGTGATATTTTACTTTTAAACCTCCTCTGGACATGCAATGTTTGTCCAAAAACAAAACTTTTAGACACTTCTCCGTGTGCAGACAAGCAGTGATGGGTTGGAACAATTTCATAAGGTTTGCGATCACGATTCAAAGCTGCAGTATGTAACTTGTTGTTTTTTTTTTCAGATATCTGCTGAAACTATCACAATTTCCTGACGGTGACAAAAAAACAACAGATCAGAAACAGGAGGAGGGTCTTAGCGCTGCCAATCAACCTCAGAAACAACTTATTGCTACAGGAAAAGTATTTAATCATCATCACTGGTGGCCATGCTAACTAGCCTGAGTGCACTACAGTGTAATTCACAGTGCTAAGACCCGCCTCCTGGCTCTGATTGGTTGTTTCTGACAGTGTTTTTCTGCAGATACCAGTAGGACAACAAGGTGGTAAAAGAGCACTGCAAGCTAAAAAAAAAAAAAAAAAGAAGGCTGCTTGTTTGTTTCCTCATACGTAGACAAAAGTCCCATTTTTCATTTAGTAATTCTTTCAGTCACACCAACAGAGACAAGGTGCATAAAATAAGGCAGCAGCACTTTCACAATTTGTTGTCGGGTGTTATTCATGTGATGAAATGATGAAGTGCTTTTACTGATTTGAGTGACTTCACATATTGCAGCATGCCAGAAACCCATCAGCCTTACATTTCTGCCATATTACGTAAAAAGTTCTCCAATATCTGACTTGATGCGCTGCTGGAGTTTACATGAATGGTCTAAACTGCTGATGCAGAGGAGAAGGCAGCCTTCTTTTATAATTATTAATGTGAACAGTGTCTCAATAATTAAATGCCGTCACTCACACACAGTGATGATGACACTAATATGCGTATTTCATCTCAGATCACTGGTTTAACTCAAGCGTTCTGATCACAAACTGGTTGGTGGGAGTTGTTCGTGGTTTTAGGGAAATTGGATGAATTTGTTCAGGTTCTGAAGCAGCAGGGCAGCTAAGGACTATCACACTACTGCCACAGACAGAGAAACAGACTTCTGTGTTCATTTTGGTCAAAGTCTGATCAAGGCTATCTCACTTTCCTATTGGCGAATCCTGATTATTGGTCTGAAATGATGTAAACGAGGCCTGAAGTGTTTTAGATGTCGATTAGGGTTTTCTTGTGACCTTCTCGATGGGCCTTTTGTGCGATTTTAGGACTAATTGTGGATAATTCTGTGGTTTTACAGACTCGGATGTCAGTTCTGGACAGTTCCTGAAATTCTTGAGAATATGGTAGTATCTGTGTTGCTTTTTGAGATCTTTTAGCCTACTTCATGTTGTCTGGCAGGTTCTGTTTAAGTGACTTTATTGGTTCTAAGGGGGAAGGCAGAATCAGCCGTGGGTGTGCCTCGTCAAACTGAACAAAAATGCTGTGACATTTACTTTCAAAGGTTGGTTTGGGTTAGCATTTCCCTCAAAAATAGCTTTTAGACATTTGAGTCAAAGTATGAAGATGAGCTTTCTTCTAAAAGTAAACTAATTTTAGTGAGGTCATCCTAACTAACTGACTGGTCTTGTATGAGTGAAATAAGGAGCACACCTACTTGTTGTGTAGCCAGTGGTGGATGCAGCTGTGGCCGAGCCTTCCGATGCCCTCCAAGACTTCTTTGCCCATGTCTGCTTCAGCTGCTCTGCACAGCGAGCGGGGCCTCCGACACCCTCATGACCCCTGCCGACCTGCAACCGAGAACGACGAGGGAGGGAAGGGAGGGGTTAGTGTCGGGGTGGTGGAGTCAGAGGTCAGCCGCAGCGCTGTCACCGAGTTCAGGCGGACTGACAGTGGTCAGGGTGTCAGCAGCTCTGGAGGATTCGCGTGTCGGAGGCGGGAGGAAAAGGGAAAAGTGTGGCGAGTGTTTATTTCTGGGCCTGTGCGTGCCGCCGCACCATAAATAATGGATGAGCACAGAGATTGGGGAGGCAACAGGAGAAGGCACCCCCTGCCAACCTTGGAAAAACCAAGCATGCAGACATTCAGAAAGCAATGGGTAAAGATAACATTACTGCCAGTGGGTGGCACATAAATTTCATTTTGTCTAGCAGACAATATCTTTTCCTTTTCACGTCCAACAATGCACTGGCAGAGGGAGGCAGACATCTGGGACCAACAGAATGAGTGGAGACACACCAATCAGGCTGTTCTGGACGATACGGATTTGTTGTAGGGAATAAAAGACGAAAGGAAAAACAATCCTCCAGGTTCTGTGATAGGAATTAAATTAAGATTCAAAAACGGAGGGTTTACTACATTTTTACCAGCAATCAATCTATTAAATACGTCTCTAAACTTTACTTGATTTTTATTGTTAAACTCAGAAAAACAGGACTGACGTAAACGTCGTTTGCAAACAAAACGACAAGAATTTAGACGCAATAAATGAGCAGGAAACTTGTGCAGTTTCCACCTTTAGTCAATTGTCAAATACGTAATTTATTAACACTGCTCAACATTTGTGTTACAAAAGTTTGACGTTATGACTAAAAATGTACCGACCAATCAGCAGAGATCGGAATCTGCTAAGCCGTGATCAGTGACCCCTCCCACTTCTCCACCTCTCTCTCTCTATTGGTTAGGTGCATCAAAAACATAACCTACCATCATTCACAACCCAAACATAAACTAACATGAACGCTGAAGCAAAATTAATTAAAAAAAAACTCAAGCATAAGGGACGTCCTTTAATGTGTAAATGGGAATAATCCGATTTAATATGAATGCACCGATCTGAAAATTACACCACCTGCATTGCTTTTCTGCTCTAACTAAACACTCCCATAATCCCGCACTGCATTGGCATCATGTGACTTAAACATGTGACCAACCCCCTTCCAACCCGAAACACCAACAGCAACAAGATAGACGTAAACATTAGACACTAATATCCGCCCAGTTTTACTTATCGGACCGATAGTTATACGCTAAAAAATTACTCATATTGGCTCAGTTTTACTTACTTCTGATTAAAAGTGGTGGATCTGTCACAAACATCAGATTAAGGCTGAAACAAATCAAATCTATTTTATCGCTGTTTACAATACATCTTAATAGATCGTAGTCCAATAAACCCCAGAAGCGAATGATTGAATGAATTGCTCCAGCTCATCATCAGAATCCCTACGTTTATGTTCTCCTTTCTTGGCCTCCGTCTCCGTGGCCGATCTCCATCTCGACATGTTCCTGATCTTTATGCAAACCCCCCTCCTCCCAAAACTACTCCAGAATAAAGAGCCCCACCCCCTTTATAGGTGCTCCGTTATTGGAAAGCACCTAACACTTCCTAAAAACTACCTAGAGTGGGAAACTGTATGCAGTCTTGCGTTGCAATGTGAAGTGATGTCAGCTGTGTCTGAAATGGAAATATGTTGAAACCTTTTTTCCTGCGTTACTGCGCCGTCCTGCATCACTCAAGAGTGTGAAAGTCCTTCCGACAGCGGTGCAGTCAAGTCTGACTGCCGGCGCTCCAGGTTTTCTGAGCAGACGGTGCAGCCTAGGCTTAGCCGGATGGCTGCAGGACTTCACACTGAGCCTCTTTGTGTGTGTGTGTGTGGTTAATAATGCACCCCAATCCCCTTGTTTAAAAAAAAAATGTTTTGACACACAAGACAAGAAAGCAGGGAAGCAGGGAAGCATCTCCCCCCTGTTTGACAGGAGATCAACAGCTCCCAACAAGCTCTCGTGCTGCAAAAGCCTCCTCACAATCTCACGCGGCGGTGAACTTGTAGCGGAGGCGCATTGCCTACCACAGCGCCGTCTGGCATTGTGCTGGGGCTGACAGGGAGTGGCTCGTTGGTATTAAAATCACCGCAGAGTGCAGCGCCCTTAAAGAGGCACCGCTCAGTGTCACACTGGCAGCTTCGCGCAACACCGAGATGCGTCAAAAACTCTGCCATCCAGTTAAACGCGCATTTGTGGCCGCATTGAAATGCAAATATGGACGATGTGGCCAATCTGGAAATGATTAATTGCGATCTGAAAGGAGAGAAATCATGCCCAAGGAGCGGTGGGTCTGGCCGCCGCGCAGCGTCGGGGTCAAATTTGGTTTGCAATTTGGTGAGAGTGCAGCCATCAGCCGAGCTAAATTAATCAAACACCAGGGCTCTACTGTTCAACAACAAAACTAGTGAGAAATTTCTCCATCACTCAGAAGAGCTCAAGAGCCTCTTGCACACTCCTCTACTTATTTTCCTTCCCCACTGCACATCTCTCTCTCTCCTCTAAGAGCTGACCTTTCCCTCCCACACCTCCGCTTCTCCCTGCTCTTTTCTGCTCAGCTATGCGTGGATCGGAGGCGATAACCAGCTCCGCTTGAGCTGGAGGACCCTCGATACCCTTCCTCTATCTGCCCTGGTTCTATTCTCAGCGGAGAGCGAAAAGGTGAGTTGATAAAAGAAAGAACAGGAGGGCAGAAAGGAGTGAGCCCTAACCTTTGTGAGCAAAACAGCCGGGCGTGATAAAGAGAGAGAGAGGAAAAAAAGGGAGGGAACGCTGGAAAATAACTCAACAGGAGGAGATTGATTCAGTAGATTGGTATGAGAAACAACAAGCGACTTTTTAAACAAACTTTATATTCAACCACCAGAAATCCAACAATTTTTTACATTTTTCATAAAGTGCCCCTTTAAAAGTACAGATGCACCAATCAGGAGTGCCTCTAGCTGATACTGATTTCAGGATTTCTTTGAGGTTTGATCAGCTGATTCTCAGGACTTTTTTTGTAAAATAAATAGGAAAATATCCTTTGATAAAGGCAGCAGTTCTGAATAATAGACAAAAAGAAGTACATTAAACCAATTTAAGCCCCTACCCGTTTTCTGATTTCTATTTGACTCAAATAGTTCAAAATACAAGTTTACCGACTCATTCATAAACAAAAAAAAAAAAAAAGGCAGATTTTCTTTGTTTTGATGCATTTAACCAAATATTCAACTATCAGAACAGCTCAAGTGAAAACTGACCAGCTCTGATCTCTGACCGCTTCACCGGGTGAATTTCAAAAATAACAACAACAAAATGATTTTCAGATTGACGTGGCTTCTGCAGATTGCATGACGCGGACCAAGACTAATAAAATCAGGGCTCAAATAAACAGTTAATTAGCTTCCTAATGCTGGTTCGCAGACGTGGCGCTGCAATAAAATTGATTTTGGCGTTTTGCCTAACTGAGTAACTAATCTCCCATTTTCCGACCATTTCTGCTAATTGCAACGCAAAGGGAATGCGCCAACTGGGGAGAAACGATTAGGATAGAGCCGGGGAAATGATATCACTTTCATACTCGGCTCTCTTCAGTTTCAGAGCGACTCAGGCAAAGGGAAACTTGCTCGTAATAGGGGGACGGGGGGAAATGGGCACAAATGAGCCCCTAATTGTGCTGCTCGCTCTGCCTTCAGGTTGCATCTTGCAGCAGAGGTGCAGGCAGCCCTAATAAATTAAATCCACAGCAGAGCATGTAGGTAATCCATTATCTATCCCATAACAGAGCTTCCAGGGAATATCAATCTGGGCAATTAGAGCAGAAACAATAAACAGAAAAAAAAAAAAAAAACCCTGACATGCCAGTCTAGCAGTTTTTAACCCCACAGAGCTCTTCGGAGACGAGAAGAGAGAGTCATTAAAAGTCAATTTGCAGACAACACCTGCAGAACAAACATGGGAAAACCAGGAGAGACACGAGGATGAGCTTGGCTGCGGAACAATGCAGAGCGAAGCCTCTTATTTGCTGATCTTGGTTAATTATCCTGCTAATGGAAAGCAGATGCACCCGCTTGCAAACTAGCCAAGAGATTTCAACGCGCCAGAGTGAATAAAAAGAAAAAAAAACACCACACCAATGCTTCACTCATTGCACAAACCAGCAACTTATACAGCCGATGGAAATCATTTTTTGGCAAAAACTTGGAAGTTGGCAAGAAGAAGGATGACACAGAAATGTTTGCGTCAAGTAAAGCATGCAAAGTCAATATCTGAGCCTGGCAGGTCATACCTGCGTGCCCGGCAGCTCTGCCCTCCATCCCGTCTGCCGTGCAACCGTTTAGTTTCCATCGTACGGGAGGCGCAATCTGCTGGAGAGGAGGCTGGAGTCGCCTCCCAGCCGCCTGCTGCCTCCTGCACTCCTGCTCGACTGAGTGCGAGTGGAAGACGGAGGAGAGGAAAGTGTAGTGGGAGACGACGAGGGGAGGAGTGGGTGTCACAAAGAGAGAGAGAGCAGGGAGGGATGGAGGGAGGGAGGAAGAGCACAAGTCTACCTGCCACAACCCATCAAGCCAGCCAGCCTTGGAGACAGAGCCAAATCAACAGCTGGCCCGTGTGATGTCAGAGCGCCAGCAGCCAGTCGCTGTAGCCGAGGGCCGGACGGCGATACGGAGCACCGACTGAACCAAAGTCTCTAGCTAAATGGGGCTCTTCATTAGCTACTCTGCTTTAGGATGGGGGTGGGAGGCAGAGAGAGGAGGTGGAGGCGAGGCCAGCCGGGGACATGGGATGGATTGAAGGGGAATGAGAGGAAGAAGAGGGGAGAAACCGTCAGGGTGGGAGGAGAGTGAGGCAGGCGGAGAAAAAGAGGCAACGAGAAATCAAAAAGGACAAGGAGATGTAGCGAGCCAGCTAGGTGCGCCACGACCAGGTGGAGAGTCGATGGGGAGGCGTTGGCTGCTGCGCGGCCGAGCTGTTCCGTGGGCTACCTTCCCATTAAAGCTGGCACCCTGCTTTTCCACACTCAGACAGCCAACACCTGAAATGCAACACCCCCGCATTTCCTCTAAATCTACATTTAAATATAGCAGAAATTAAAAGAAAGCCGATTGCTTAATTTGTGGGAAAGAGCTAATGTGCGCAGCGGCAACGCAGCTCCGCTTCCCAAAGCGCTCTCGTCGGCGACTTACTGACAAGCTGTCAAAAGACGCAGCGAGTCACAAACAGGTCCAAGTCTAGACTGCCGTGATGTGATTGTTTTCGTCCCTTTCAGCCGCGCCGACTTTAACGGCGAAACACAGTGGGCGGAAAAAGTTCCTGCTGTCACTTAGCAACCGACATCCAGGCTGCGACAAACGATCCGATCCAACCCTGCCTCGTAATTGTACCTTTCGTTATGCCAGGTCTCGGAAGAATTTATTATTGGGCTTTCTTAATCCTGTGAAAAGGTCAGCAATTGGACAAACAATTTATGGACAGGCGGATGAATTATTTAATGGGCCTAGCTCCCCTCACACAACCAAATATTAGAGCCAGGAGATATCCCCCCCTTCCTCCAAGGGAGGCGATGAATAATTTAGTCATCAGGGGCCACATCTTTGGTGAAAGCTATTACACGGCAACCTCAACCTCAATATGTGATAATGTCATCGGCGGTAAATTCGCTCTAACCTGCGGAATGAGTGGTCAACCGAGCCGCGGCAGCAACGGGTCGGGCGGCCGCGGGGCAAAACTGTTGGGGCAAGCGATTATTAGCATTTATTTCAAGCTTTAGCAGGGGCTGTTCTACAGATTACACGCAATCACAGGAGGTCATTTGAGCTATGATTTAGCACATTTTAATAGTGCACTCAAAATGGGTGGAATAATTGCTTATATTGATGCCACTTGTTGTAAAATATCTTCAGTGAATGCTATATACAGTGCTGGTGGTGCAATAAAAAATGATCCCATCATGACGCTTAGCCTCATTGGTGACAACTCTTGGGCTCTTATAGCCGTCTCTGTCAATTTCTGCAAACTCAATGAGGCAATAATTATCAGGGTTGGTGCATCTGCTTGATAGCAATTATAGCTTCCTTTTTAAGCAAGTATAAATTTGGGTTATGGGATTTTTGATTTATGGCCCATGAAGAGGATAAAGATTCACTTTAAGCCACCTTTTACCGGCCAACATTAAGATGATGTCTGTAATGAAGCTGTACTAATGTGTACTTACAGATACAACTAACTCCACAAACTCTGGTTCACTTCTAAATTCAAATATCCTATAGGTCTGTGGTTGCAAGGTTTCCCCCAGAAAACTTGCTAAGCCCGGTGGTCGGGCGCTAGGACAGTCATTCATCCAGCATCCCGTCATGTTTTTGAGTTAAAAAATGTTTAAAGTTTACAGGAAAGTTGAAAATATCACTTGATAATTATGTGCTATTGGAAGATAAACAATGCTAAGCCTGGTTCCCTGCCAGGCTTATAATACACTGGGGGAAACCAAAGGTTGCTATTCAGGTGCTATTCCTGAAAATAACAACAACAGATAAGCAATAGTAATGGTTTTTATGCTTTTACAAAAAAACTAGAATCTTTGTTCATAATTTGAGAATCTCTGGTTCTAAAAGGTTATGGTTTCTAAGAATAGTTCAGCAACACTCCTCCCTAAACTGTTGCTGCACACTATCAGTCAGATGGCTGAAAGAAGGAACTAAAAACCGACTGGTTGCAACTCTAAAATGGTTAATTCTGCAATATTTTACGTGTTCAAACCAAAAACAACAAAGACCACCATTACAGTACCACACACAAAACTTAATATTTAATACAGAAAATCATTTTTGTTTGTTATTTTTACTGGCCAATGCCTACACCTCTATCTGTTTATTTGTATTTGGTAGTCCCTCTAGGCTACATTTCTGATTCCTTCACCTGTTCAAAAAACAAGTTGTTAATGCTCACTTTCAAATTAAGTAGTCAATTACTGCTGTTATGCTACACATAGAGGCTGATCCAAAACAGCAATTTCAACACCACCAACCTCCATTAAATCCCATGACAATTTAATGTGCTCTCTGTCCTGAACAAGTTAAAAGAAACACAGATTTGTATGAGGTTTTCGTTCCTTATATGGGTGTGCGACAACATTTCGGGGAACGTAGCATCTGTCCAAGCAGCTAAAAAGGTTAAGTACAGCCATATTTCTGAAACGGACTCAAACAGCAATGCAGCAACTAAGGTGGGAGACAGGGTCGAAGCAGGCCTAAAAGTTGCTGAAATATAATATATTATTTCATAACTGCTGTTTGATTTTCCAGAAGGAATGCCGATATAGTTTATCGCCGTTTTGGACACGTGTGCAATTTTAGTTTCGAGGTGTTTCTTTCATACACAGCGTGCACCATTTTGGCGTTGTGTCGGGGCTAAGCTAACGATCCTTACCTGGCACCGCGGCGTGCTAACGGCCAAACACCGGCGCCCTGAGCTGTCACACAGCACACACTAGACCTGCTTCTTGCTAACTAGCTCCGGTTTCAGGATTTTATAATGATATAAAGATATCATTATTAACAACTAAAGTGTGTGGCAGGATGCTGTAGGTATCTTTTAACGTTGCCTTACCCGCTTTGGTTTACACTCGGTGAAGCAGCCGTTGTTCCCTACCGATGGTGAAGTAGCTACTGTTTGTGGCGGAGTAAAGGAGGATCCAGCGGCCAGCAAGCTGCCTGTGCGTCAGTTCCTCACGCTGCACACGCACGGTGTTCAAAATATGTCACGTCTTGTCGTAAAACAAGTTTTTCTTCTCACTTACAGTATGGTAGCAAGCGTGGAGTGGACGTATCTTTTTTTTTTTTTTTTAAAATACCGTCACTTGTTTCGCATTTTTTTAAAAAGTGAATGGAAGTTGCTTACAGTTTTCAGTTGAGCTGTGTCGTAAGAAGATACTTTACGACGGCAGTGACGTAGATGGAGTGTGACTTGAAGATACAGCGAAACTGTTTTGCTTGAATCCATACTGCAGCGTTTTGTTTTAGTATTTAATCGAGAAAGCCAATAATGTTGTCTTCAGCCTGGTAAGTTATGTAATCGAAAAGTTGCTTGTAAACCACTCTTTAGAAATCTTTTAGAGCTCGGCTTGTCTTGCAGAACTGAATATATGTAAACAAAATTATGCTGTATTCTTTACAAAATCTGTAACTGTAAAAAGAAATTATTGCGTGGCTTCTAAGTTGGTATTTTATTTATTATGCATTTATTAACGTTAACAAACCACAGTTCATGCTCAGACTCTTTGAATAGAACGCAGGGTGGTTCCCAATCGTGGGGTCGGATGCCCCTTTTGAGTCGTGAAAAATCAGCTGGTGGGTCCTGAAGTGGTATATTGACCTTTTTTTTAATTATAGACCTAATTTCAATATGTAGATCGTATTTTGGCCTGTGCATTTTGTCTAAATCCTGATCACATTTGACATGACTCAACAGTAAAAAGAATAGTTTAGATTTTGTTTGAAGTGAGATTTATGTTAGTTTCTGCAGTAGCCCAGTCCTGAAATTATTATAATATAAATTAGTCAGAAATTTATTGTAAATTTTGTAATAATTGAAGATTTGTACTGTTGAATATTTAGAAATACTTGCTACAACGTCTTTAGCTGTGCCTAAGAATAACAATTTGATTTAAGTTCACATCAAAACCTGGTAGTGAAATCATACTCAGCGATACCAAAATGTGATTAATCAGATTTAATATCTGATGTAACAAGATATTAAATCTCATCTGTTAGTTACATGTTAGTTTGGAAATATTTTTTTTCCCATCTTTAATAAATGAAATTATGATTTAAAAACTGCATTATGTAATTACTCAGGTTAACTTTGTCTGACATTGAAATTAGTCTGCTTGTGTTTTCTAGATTTTAAATCTACTGCCAGTAATGGATGAGAGTGACCCACAGAAATCTGACTGTGACACAAGATGGCCGCAGCAACTGTCAGGACTTCCTCCCAAGCTTCTGCAGCGCCTGATGCCTTTTCAAAGGGAGGGAGTGGAGTTCGCTTTGTCTAAGAATGGACGGTGAGCGACTTCATCCTCTGGATTTTTCAGGACAGCTAGTTAGGGAGCTGTACATAATGCTCGGACGAGTCCTCACTTTGTTTGCAAAACGAGCCTCGGCGTTCAGGTTCTCAGTGTTTTCCTGCGTTCAGCATAAGCTGCACTACCACAGCAGGACTTGTTCATTTCATCCTCCGCTCCAGTTGGGCGGAGGGTCAACCTACACGGAGCAAATCCGAGGGATGCTGCTGGCGCTGAGCAGCCGTATTGATTTAGGAACACTGGAAGGCTGCGCTTTCTGGCACGGACAGGTCAGGGGTCAATTTGCTCTCACTGCACAGTGCAGAGCGCTACCTTGCTTGATTGGCATTAGTGTGACTGCAGGGAACAAATAGATATTGTCTTAGAAGGCACAGTGCTTCATCTAAACGTAATTAATGATTAGACGATGGTAACCGACATTAATCTGCATTAAAAATAGCTTTTTTAACGTTTGTTTTTGAGGTGTGCTGCATCAAAAAAAAGCTGAATTGATTGATTTTAACTAGAATGACAGCAATTAAGTTAATAACAGAAGTGTGACCGCTTCATTATCTTCATACAGAGGTGAAAACTAAAGCTGATGATCAGCAGAATTTCTTGCAGAAAGAGCATATTTATACCGAACCGACAACAATTTAGTGGAGCTGTAAACTTGCTGGGTTTTTAAGAAGGGAGGGGTTAGAAGATTTCTTGAAAATACAGGATATCGCCACCTGAAATGAAGGTACAGTAGACATGACAAGCTGACAGCTGAGAAATAAATGGCAGCCTGTCATAAAATAGCTCCTGAAATGCACTGCACATCATATACTGATGTAAGATATCTACCAGCGTAGGAGGATCCGTGGGTGGATTTTTTTTTTTTTCCCCTCTCGCAGCCATTGTGTCTCTCTCCACATCCAGAGAGCTTCAAGTGTACCGAAGCAAAACATCAAAATGTTGTCGCAAATTCAAAATACTTGCGGATCCCGTTGGATTGGCTTGTGTGGGAGGGCGAGTGAGTTTTATGGAGATAAACGGGGTGGAATGTGTAAAATATGTGGCTCGGTGCGACAATAAAAAAACTAAAAAAAAAACAAAAAAACAAAGCAGTTGTTGATTGAATTGTTTGAAAAAGTTTAACCGAAGTTTGATACTAAAACAATCCATTAAGATGTTTTTTTTTTCTGACTTAGCTTGAAGCCAGATATTTGATGAAGCATATTTTTCTAAGCTGCTCTTCTCTTGAGCAGGGAGGGAGTTGCTAATGTGGTGATAGATCAATACTCTTCGTTTGCATCAAATTGTGTGGTATCATATGAAATATTATTCCTAACATATAATCTGTATTGAGCTTCCCAGTTCAGTCCTTTAGGCTAAGGAGGCTCATAGGAACAGAAGGAGCAATAAATTGTAAATACATATTTCGGCAAATGCTAAGTTATCGCCAACTTGTAATTTAAATACAAGTTGATTGGTGATAAAATGAAGATGATAATAAAAAACAAATAGCTTCTGTAGCCCTTTTAGGTATGGCGTAATAATATCTTCATCCTTCAAACAAAAAAAGATTACACAAACATCTGTTTTCTTTAGTATCTTTAACAATTCATTCTGAATTTTTACCTTTTTACATGATTGGTAATAAAAATGCTTAATTGTTGGGTAAAGCTATTTTCCTTTCATCTACAAAAATTTTTTCGTCTTGTAAATATGTGCCAAAACAAAATTTGAGGTCTTTTTCTGATCTTAAATCTGCAGATTTCTTTTGCTATTTCTAGTTTCCTTATGAGAACTGTAACTCAAGTACAGGTACATCAAAAAAATTGGTCCAGATTTCCTTAATTTTGGCTGATCTGGCAATATTTATCAGCTCTTAAGACATAAAAGTTGGATTCGGCGGATACAATTATTTTTATCCAGCATTTTCCGATCTCAGACAAACGTTAACAGACGACTATAGTACAGCTAAGCCTTGCTCTCTCTCGCTCTTTTGCAGCTTTAATATGTGGCTCAAAACAATCAGTAAAACAACATAATTATTAAAAACTTTTTTCTTTTAAATATTCTGTTGTATGTATCACAGCTGATGTGTTCATTTGCCTCTTTTTGGAGGATATGAACTGACGCACTGGTACAAAACAACAGGAAACAAACAAATTAGCCAATTCAATAATGTCGTAGAAATTTGGATTTAAAGACAGACATGATGAAAAACTAAAACTTTTCAAGATTTGAAAAGTTGTGTGTTTTATCTTCTTAATATTCATTTAAATACGTTTTTTTGTCAATTATTTAATGCAAAGATTCAACGGGAAGCTACCAGGGAAAATGTATCTCTTTTTTGAAAGAATCTTTTGATTTAATGAGATACGAAACAAATGCCAGATCAAACTGGTGCAAGACGTCTTTAGGTAAATGGAATAATAGAGATAAAAACTAAATTCGGGGCATGTTAACTAATAAAGGTCCACTAATACCTCCTTCTTTTTGAGTTGATGTGTTAAGTTTGATGTTGTGTGATAGACATAATGGTGAAAACATAAAGCTCAACCTCCTGAAACACTTCATTATTACATTATCCATTTTAAGAGTCGGTTTCATTTGTAGAACATCTTTGCTGTAATCTGGGTCATTTATCACCAGCAGTAGAATCGCTCTAATATTGTAAATAGGAAAACATCTCTATTATATTCTCAAGGTGCCTCACTTACAGTATTTACTTTCCTAACACTAAATTTCATTCCTTCCTAATAAGGCATGAAACTTGTAATGGCTTTTTTATTATTATAGGATTTTTTTTTTTGGTCTTGTGTAGACAGCAGGAGATGGATTCTGTTAAACGGCATGAAAAATTTCCCTCACCATAAATTACCCGAAGCCTTAATAGGCAAGCTAACAATATTTGGACAGTATCCATCCAGGACATTAAGAAGAGGTTTATAGAGAAGCTACACATCATAAATAAATGTTAGAGCCTGCTGAGCCCGTATTGTGCATTAGAGAGAAGAATTATTTTATTTAGAGGCCCTTAATGCATATCGCAAAAAAAAGTGGGAGTTAGAAAAATATGTTCACTTAGCATTTGTAGAAATATGTATTTCTCAAGTGAATGCATCATTACTGAGCCTTTACGTTCTCTAATGTACTGTGGTAAAAACAAAAGAACAAGATGTATGATTAAACATTTACACAATGCATCAAGACCATTATGCAACCGTATTGTTACATCTACAGTGTTGAAGAGGAAGGTAATGCTTGATGATGGTTACTTAAAGCTCGATTATAACACAAGCAGCTCTCTTTTTCATTTCATTCTGACTCGTGTAGCTAGATTAATTTACTCTGATTATTGAACATTTTGGAGTAGATCTCCACTGTAAAGCAATTTTTCTCTTTACAGTAACAACATATTAATCAAATCAGCTGCGTTTTAAACCCCGCCTTTTTGCCCAAATATGGTTTCAGGTTGCAGAAAGGACATTTTTGTCAAACAAAATTGGCTCTAATGGATAGATTTTATACATTGGAGTATCATAACTGCATTTACTTGCAATGTAAATAAACATCATATCTTCAATGTTAGCAAGTCACCACTGATGTAATATAATCTCTTTTTAGATGCCTACTGTCTGTTTCTGTTGTTTGCGAATAGCTTGAAACATAATCTAAGAATGTACTTTATGTAAATATCAAGCTTATTAAAGTTAAACAAGCAGGAAACTTGATCCTTGAGCAAATGTTGCCTTAGAGTATGAAGAAAGGAAGATGCAGCTAATGAGTTTCGGAGCACAATAACCAACTTTTTTTTTTTTTTTTTTACACACCATTAAAACCATGTAAGGTTTTCTGCTCAGATCTTTGTGAATCCGGCGTATGGACTTCACTCTGAACCCTGAACGCGTGCGATATCAGAGTGGGTCCAAACATGGAGTCAGCCTTTTGTCCGGCATCCCACACTCGGCAGAGATCACCACAGGTCCAGTCCTCCAGAGGAGAGCCTTTTTTTTTTTTTTTACCTTGGCTGGAAAATTGGGGTTAGACACGGGTCCGCACAACACATCACCGCATAGAGGTCAGAGCCATCAAATCAGCGCGGCCAGCTTGGGAGGCAGCGGAGCCCATTTCCTGACACTTTGGGGCTCGTGGGTTTCGGAGATAACATTAGAAAGATGCTGCGACGGGGCGCGTGCCGTCGTCAGGCAACAGCTCCGCAGTGCGCTCGCAGTCTCAAACCGTCAAGACGACACTCAGGTTATTTAAAGGAGGATGATTAATGTGTTGAGAAATGGCAAGCACCTGCCCCAGCCACACTGCCTCTCGGGGTTGTGTGTGGGTGTGTGCGCGCAGCTACATATATGTATGCGCCGTCTCGGAAGAGTTGGTATCAGTGTGTGTTTCCACTTTATATGCCTTTTGTATGCACTTTTCACACACATACAGGACCTGGACTGTGTGTGCGCGCACGCGCTCGCGTGTGTGTTTGTGCATTGCGCTGACTGAGCCGGTGTGTTGGCAATTAGAAAAACCACCAGTGGCAAGGTGCACATTAATCATGTTCCTCAGCTGAAAGAGAGAAATGGGGCGGAGATGGGAGGAGGAAGACGAGGAGGAGGACGAGAGAGAATAATGAGCGACTCAGTCTGAAGTATTCAGAGGTGCTCTGTTGCACCGCTGCTGGTGACACAATGTTGGGAGCATTTATGGAGGGGAAAAAAATAAAAAGGAAGGTCATGACAATGGGCTCAGGCCCACTGGACAAAGAAGCAGAGGTTGATCTGCGCTGCATATTTTCCACAGGGACGACTTCAGCTGATGACCGTGTCGCGCTTTCATTGTTCTTCATAGTGTTCTGCTTGGCAGTTTAATGGCCGCTCAAGCACATTGGATCACAAACATCCTCTTTAACTTTCAGCCCTTCATGTAGGAGGAAAGAAAACTGGCAGTGAAGAAATCAGTGACTGTTTTGTCCGACTAAAAGGGAGGTGAAGTTATAACAGAGTGAAGTAAAGGATGCAACTTATCGATGATTGAGTCCATTTTCATAAAAACTTTCTAATGTAGCAAGAAGGCGGACTCTCATTTCATAACATAAAGAGCTACAAAATTCTTAAATTTTAATTTTTTTTGTCTCAGCTTTATTTAATTCTGACTGAATAAACAGAACATTTTGGTTTTCTCACATTATTAAACTTTGACACATTTATAAAATAGGAACCTCTTAGGTTCCTATTTTCCTATAAAAATGAAAGGTAAAAATAATAAAATATGTGTGTATTTATTATTGTATGTTTATATTTCTAAACCGAACCGCATAAAGTGCGTTTTCCATCCCACATTGGACTCTGTTTGGACTCTTTCTCTTTCCCATTCTGTTATGGCTCCACTATCTTTATTTCTGTATCAACTGAGTCTGCTTAAGGACGACCACCAGCGCCCTCTGCTGGATGGAGGCCAAACTACATCACCAAAAGACAATTTAAAAGGACATTATTAGCTAATCGATTGGAACTAATTTTAATCTACTGGACAATTAATCATAAGATGATTGATTGTTTGCACCCCTATAGTGAAGCTTTTAGTTAGTATGTAGTGTAAATAGTTATACATTAAAGATTCTACTTAAAGTTCAGACATAAATCCATTACAAAACATCAAATCTAGCAAATTAAAGCTTTCCATCCAAACAATCTGGGGGGGGGGGGTTTGTAAAAATGGCTGAAACCATGGGTTATTTTCCTTCTACAAACTTATTACCAGCGTAATGCAGATATGGAAACTCTGTGAAAATCCAGAAATTATTTTGGCTTGCATAAGTTTTTGTCGTCTGTAATATTTTTTTTATGACTTTGTGTGATTCTTGTATCCTTCACTGTGTTTTGATCAGAAACTGAGAAATTAAATAATGATTTGCGCAAGTATTTTTTCCAGATATATACTGCTTATTTAAACAGAATTATGAAAACGTCTTCCTATAATAAAACAGAAATGAGTGAAATAGACTCAAAAAGAAGATGCTTTCCTAAAAACAGAATTATCCAGCTGAAGCAGTGGTATAAATATTGAATGGCGCTCAAGCTTAAGTAGCATAGCAGCACAGACCCAAATTACTAGTGACAGATTTGTGGTACATCCAAGAGAAGAGGCGAACCAGACAGGCGGTCCTATTGGATCGCAGAATCCTCACGCTACACAGACTGTTGTCTTCAGCTGTAAATTATTAAAGCCAGACTAATTTAGCCTCTCTGTTTCCTTTGTTTTCCAGATGTATGATTGCCGATGAGGTAAGTACACCACTGTTGTTTGGAAAATCTACTTTCCCGCCCCACCAAAAATGAACCTGCAGCCTTCCAGATGAGTTTGTCAGCTCTCTGCTGCAGTCCCACGTGCCTAATCGCTTTTGACACTAGAATCATTGTGAGACCTTATTACTCCTGGGCCTCACATGAGCTCAGCCGTCACATGCAATTTGCCGCCGAGGGCTTCCCTTTGCGATTGACTTGTTTTCCCTTCCCCAGATGGGCTTAGGGAAGACGGTCCAGGCCATCGCAGTGGCGTGCGCTTACAGAGCGGAGTGGCCCCTCCTGGTGGTGGTGCCCTCCTCTCTCAAATATCCCTGGATCGAGGAGCTGGAGAGGTGGATCCCAGAGCTGCAGCCCGGAGACGTCAACTTGGTGGAGAGCAAGAGCCACACCATGTAGGTCCGGGGGGTCAAACTCATTCTCGTTTTGGTTCAAATGAAGATCATGAATGCTTGGTTGTGCCAGAATGTATTGATAAAACCTGTTAAACTGTTAAAATATTAATGAATTCTTAAAATTAAATAATATTGAACGTCTTTTCAGTCCCTAAAGAATTTCGCGATTGTTTTTTGTGATTTTTTTTTGCAGTAAAAAGTGTTTGTGGTATTTGCAATATTTGGGCTCATTTATGACGGTAAATGTGACTTTTTATTACTCGTTGTGCAGATCATGGGTTATAATCTGACATCAATTAATCCTGAGGCAGCTGTTTAGTACAAGTAAGAAAGTTTTTGAGAATTTTTGAGAAAAATCTGCAAAAAAGTGTGGAGATTTGTTGATTTTATGTGAAATTTCACAACAGTTCTCAAGAAACTGGAGGGACTGATTGATATAATCTGGCAGTAAACAGATAAAAACTGCATTAATTTGATTGAAAACATGAAATTTAAGCAGTCTTAATGTTTAAATAGAATCAAACTGGCCTTGAGTTTGACACATGTGATGCAGGTCGTCCTTCCACTCCGTTTTCTTTGCAGAAATCCACGGGAACGATCAAAGCCGGTGGTTTCTGTTCTGTTATGCATTAGGCTGCAACTTTAATTAAATTACATTTTGTGTCACAAGCCACCTGATGAGTATTAGAGGTGTGAATGATTAATGAACGTTAATGGCTCCATGCATCTGAAGGTGCATCTCAATGAATCTCGGTGCGTTGCTTTGTCAAATTAACATAAGCACACACAGCAACTTTTTCATGAATATTAATGCATTTATCTCCATCCCAGAGCTTCTTTTTCATTTAATACCTAACAAAAAACTGTCTTTAATATAGAAAAGAGTGATATGCTGTCTGGTGTGTGTGTTACACTTCTCAATTCACTTTGGTTTTGTTTTTTTCGGTTGTTTTCTCAAATAGAAGCAGAGTTAAATAAAAATATTTTGTGTGCAGAATAAAGTTAAAACATTTTGTATTTTGTAGACCTGATTTCACAATTTAATTTAAAATGTTAACACTATATTTTGGGGCATTTATAGCGATAACAGGAAAAGTTATTACCGTAAATAGTGACTTTTTTGGTAACTGTATGGCAGTGATTGTAGTTGAAACTCCACAAATGCAAATATCGTTCTTAAGAAGTTGCTTCTTCAGGACACCAACAACATAAAAATCATTTAAAAAGTCTGATTTTTATCAACAAAGTGCACATAGAAGCTGAATTTAATAATATTTTTTGATTTTCATTGAAATCAACAGCAGAAAAAAAGAATGAAAATAGCAAATTCAGACAATACTATTAGTTTCTTGGGGGTTTTCAGACATTATTAAAATACATTTATTTTTGTCACAATTTATCCAAACTCTTATAATAACGATAAATGATGAGAGAAATGCCTGTCTTTATTAATAAGTTGAAACATCATCAACAAAAAATATAATTCAGGGTTGTAAAATACTATTTGAGCGACTGATTTATATTCAATTTTTATAAATTATATGAACCACCAGCTGAACAAAAAACTGTTTAATGTGCCAACTAAACAAACTAAACAAGCCCTTTCAACTGCAAAAACACAAAATCCTAACAAGTATTTTGGTTTAGTTTCTAGTGCAAATATCTTATTACATTTAAAATGAGAAAAACTAACTTAGAAGTAAGTTTTATTTAGTAAATAATTCCTTAATATTGATGAAAAAGAACTAGTTCCATTAGCAGAGTATTTCTCTTATAACAAGACATTTTTCCCACGTTATAAGTTAATTTATCTGCCAATGAAACTGGAACTTCTTTATAAATTTTAAGTAATTATTTACTAAATAAAACTTACTTTAAGCTAGTTTTTCCTTATTTCAAGTGTAATAAGATATTTGCTCTAAAAACTAAAAAATGTTTGGTAAGATTTTGCGTTTTTGCAGTGCTGATCTAAAAGTAAAACTTTTTACAAGCCAATTTAATTTCTTCCCTCTGATATTATTATAATGTTTGACAACACTTTCATGCATAAATTTAAAAAACTCAGCAACAGAACATTAAATTAAATCCAAGGCGATCAGAGATGCTGTGGATGAAGTCGCTCTCTTGCTCACAGGTAGGAGTAAAGGTTGACGGTACTTTGTATTCCTGGAGTGAATTTTAATTACCGGGTTTTCTGCAGCAAGCTTCTGTATTCTGCTGCGTCACTAAGAGCTGCAGCAGCAGCAGCAGCAGTGTCACATTCAGGATGCATTTGTCTGGATTATCGTTCTCTTATTGTTCCTGAAAACCCTCAGTTTAATTTATTATATGTTAATGATGTTTTCTACTCTATCTAAATTAAAATCCATCCTCTCAGTAATAATTTATTCCTTCATTTCTTGGAGTTGAGCCCATTGGTGTCATATATATGCCGTTGATTTAAACTGACCGAAACTTATTTCTTTTAAAGAAATATTGACATTAATGTACTGATAAAAAAAATTTCTAACATTATTTTAAATGTATTCTGTAGACAAAATTTAACTAAATTAACTTCAACCCACGGTTGTTGTCAATTTACAACCTCAAACTCGAGATCATGAAGCTCTTAAAGGGCCGGTTGTGCCAGAATGTATTGATTAATGTGCAAATATTTCCAAATTCGTACCACAAACACTTTGATTTTTATTGCAAAAAAATTGAAAAGTGTCACAAAATCCTGGAGGGACTGAAACAATATTCAATAATATTATGTAATTTTAAGGATTCATTGATATTTTAACAGCTTCTGAACTTTTTAAATACATTCTGGCACAACCGGCCCTTTAAGAGGATTCATGATTTTGATTTGGCCAAAACCAAAATGAGTTTGACAACCCAGATATAAATCCTGGATTATAATCTGACATCAATTGAGGCTGAGGCAGCTGTTTAGAAAAAGTAAGACAGTTTTTGACTATTTTTGACTCCCAATTATGTATTAGCGCAAAAAAAAAAAAATGCAAGGATTTGTTGATTTTCTGTGAATTTCCACAATAATTCTCAAGAAACTGGAGGGACTGATTAATATAATGTGTCAGTAAACAGATAAAAGCTGCACTGATTTGATAGATAGCATAATATTTAAGCACAGTTAGTGTTTAGTGTAGAATAGAGGGCCTCATAAAGAGCTATGGCGGGCTGGATTTGGCCCATGGGCCTCGAGTTTGACACACGTGCTGATGAAAAGACACTTTTCAGTTTCTTATTTGTAAATAATCTTGAAAATCACGCCCTTTACTTCCACTTCACGCCGTGTTTTTCCCTCTCTCATAAAACACAAAGAAAATATATTGAAGTTTGAGGCTGCAGCATGTCTTAAATGTGAAATGAGAGGCGGTGAACACACCCATGCAGGGCAGCAGGGTGCACAGTCTCATAAGTGTTCCAGATATTCCTTATGAAAGTGAAAGGTTACAGCTATTATTTGAGCTTAAGGGAAGGTTGCCCTTATAACAGTCTGCCTGGCAGAGGCTGATATGTTCTGCTTCAGCTCTTGCAAGCAGTAATAATTTACCCTAAAGAGATGTAATAAAGATTTAAAAAAAATAAAATAACGCAAACGTTTTTGGGAAACCGAGGCGGTGTGATGGACAGCGGAGGTGGGGCCAATAAATTAATCTCAGAGTGTCCCTCTATGTCAGGAGCCAGCAGGGGCCAATGCTTGACAGCGCTGACAGACAAATCATGTCAAGGCGACGCCTGCAATATTGAACAAGAGCTGAAAGTTTTCCTGGAGGAGGGAAAAAATGCTGTCCTTGGGAAACGGCCCTCATTTCCATGACTGTTTATTCAGGTTTGCATTGTGGACTGATGGGGGTTTTTTTGTATTTTTTTGCATGGAAACATGTCTCTCTTATCATCTCAACTTTCCCCTTGTTCTTCCTGCTTTTTGAAGTTTTTGAATGATACAAAGTTTCTATATTTGTCACTTGGAGGGGTGGAGGTGGGGGAGTCGGTGGGGGGACTCCCCACCTCACATCACAGATGAGGTGCAAAGAGGTTGTGAACGCCTTCTGGGGAAAATGTGTCCTTGAACTGGATGTGTTAATGACTGAACGCGGAGGCAAGAAGAAGAAAAAAAATTATGCAGCTTCTCCTAACATGGTGCTTTGACTGACTTGTGCTTTTGTAGAACATCAGTGGCGTCTTATTCCGGCGTTTCGGCTCAGAAACATGCGGCGAAGTGAAAGAATTAAAGCCTCCTAGACGCGTGGAGCCTTCATGATTTATTTCAGATCATCGCTGATTTTCATGCTGCTGAAAGTCACCTGTGCGTTTGTTTGTTTACCTGAGACGGTGCCTCTGTGTTTACGTTGCATAGCATATGAGTTTGGATGAAGAAAAAAACAGAAATTGTAATACATTATGTTTGAAGAGCTAAAGAAGGGATGTATGAAAAGTTTGCCTGAAGAAGTCGGTGGCTAAACGCCTCGATACAACAGTTTTTGTTAAATAATTTGAGTTGGAGGCCCAGTTTTCAAAATAATAAACCCATAAGCATGAGAACAGATGTTCAAAATGTATTTGATTGTAGCTGGTTGTAGGTTGCCATTTTCTTAAATAGCAACATTTCAGTGAAACATAAATTCTCAATGTCATTAATGTCAAAAGCAATATTCTTTTCCGTAAAGTGCAAATTAGAGAAAATCTTCAGCATCATCTCCAATTTCTTTGTTTTCTCCATTACTCTTTTTTATATAAATTAAGACATACCAACTAGAAATCTAAATAAATTGTGTGAAATGCATTTTATGACATGTAATTAACTCTAAACCTACTTTAAGCTCTCATACTAGCAGCTACTGCTCTGCTAGCAAAGCATCCATCTTGTGTTTAGTTGTTATTGTATTTTTTTCTGTCTTAATGAATAATTTAAGTGATTGCCTTGTTTTTTGTGTCTACTATTATACATGAAACAGTATCATTTATCATATGCCTTTTTAAATTTTCAATTAGTTTAATTAGATTTTTCATTACAGTAAGAAATGAGAGGCTCATTGTTTTACGTAGCTTAAATTAGCAGTTTTACACAAACCAAACTTTCGCAACATAGCAATCTGAAGCTCCCCAACAATCAATTAAGTTGTATCAGAGTTTTATGTTTGTGTCTTTTTGTCAAATCTTTGCTAATTTTACAACAACAAAAAAAAAACTATTTTGATGTTGGTACACTTTCATGCCTTTTACCGCCATTTTACATTCAAAAGTAAGATATTCCATACCCAGGTATTTAGATAATGTTAATTATTTTTGTTTCGTCGTCTTGTAATAACATATGAAACAAAACTAGTATGAGCTAAATGGCAAAACAACATGTGCTAGTTTCTTTATGTGGCTAATATTAGCTTAGCTTAGCAGACAGTAGCTAAAGAGTCATAAAATAACATCAAAAATAATAAAATATAAATATGGCACTTCATTTTTCATATCACCTAATTTGGTATTTCAACACAGAATTGGTGAGGTTAATTTTGAATATATCATGTAACCGATAAGACCAGTTCAAGGCAGCTGTTTTACATTATGATAGCTAACATTAAGATTTATTATTATTCTAGTGTTTCTTCCATTTTTCTTCTAATTATACAAGGGAATTACTGTGCAATTTTATGTAAAGAATGACATTTTTATCATACAAAACAGCTTTTATTCCAAAATAATCTAGCTAGCTTAACTAAGCTTGTTTTAGTTTAATGGTTTGCTTTCTATTTTTAATTTAAAAAATTGTTTGACAAGCTAATTAATCATATCTAATAAATACAAGAACTAATTACCATATTTCAATAATTTTTTATGCATTACCTAACAATAATCTTTATTATTTGCCTATTTTTGTTTTGATCAGGCTTTCGGTGTCGCTAACAGGTTATGAACTGTCTCTGTGTTTGTGTGTGTGTGTGTGTGCTTCCACAGGGATATCAGCAGCAGTAAAGTGACAGTGCTGGGTTACGGGCTGCTCACCACAGACGCACGCCCCCTAGTGGAGGCTCTTAGCAGACAGCGGTTCGCTGTAGTCGTGGTGGACGAGTCTCATTACCTCAAATCGAGGAACGCAGCAAGGACCAAGATCCTGGTCCCTCTCATTCAGAGTGCAAAGCGGGCCATCCTGCTCACTGGTACCCCCGCTCTGGGTCGACCCGAAGAGGTAATCAGAGTTGATGGAATGAAATTTTAATGATGCCTCTTGAGGGAAGAGTACAGATTTAAATGGAGCATCCTTTTTTTAACCCAAAAGATGAAACAGACCCTGCAGATTGCAGACTCCTTGAAACGCGTCTATATTTTTTGATGGATAAAAAAAACAGCGTGGACAGATACAGGAAATTCTCATGCTCAGGATGGGACTCAGCATTAGGTCAGCTCAAATTTATCTTCGCGCAAAGGTAGATCGCCATGGTAACTTGCTCTGATCTAATGTTCGAAAAGCCAATTAACTCTCTCGGGCGTCACTCATCCTTCTGGATCCTGTGGTCTTATTTCAATAACCTTTGTTGCAAAAACTTCATTTACAAAGCCCGATATGAACAGACACGGCGCTGCAATAAATGAGACAAGTAATAAAAGAAGCACGAGGGGGAGAGGAGGGGTGGAACTATTGAATTTAGAAACAATAAGAAGGGGCTATTCACAGGACCACTGTGTTTGGAGAGAGGCTGAGCCAAACCGTTCCACTCTCCATAATGATTTATTATGCCATTGTTATATATGTTATGTTGCAGGTGTATCGTAGATTACAGCCATATTCCATCATCGCTGCTGTGGAAATTAAAGAAGACTTTGGGAATTGAAAATCTTTCCCATATCCAGCATGAAGACAGTAGAGTAGCAAAACATTCACCAATAATGGGATGTTTTCCTTTCCTCCAGCATCTTGTTGTGTTTAATTTTACGTTGTTACGGGTTGGGAATTAATTATTCTGAATTAAATACTTCTTTTTAGGTTTTTGTAATAAGTGAAAAAAGGACAAAAACAATTATCTAATTATTTTAGTTGGTCTTTAAAATTTTTCCAGTTTTCAGGGTGGGACTGCATCCAAAAAGAGGATTTAAATTCTCATTTAGCTGCTAGTTTTTTTCCACTATGGTTATGATTATCACTATCTTTTTACCAGGTTAGCATTACTTTTTTATTTTGCCTCTAGATCAGCTCTTTTTTTGTTTCACCCTAAATAATCAATTGGGTCTAAAACCAATAAAAACCTCTTATGTATATAGATAAATTTAACAGGAGGGTGGCCAGTATAATAATAACAAATATTTGAACATGTTCACATTTACATTTCTTCTAACTTTAGCCAGCTGCTGCTTCAATCATGTTAAAAACAAAAAGCAGGCTACTGTCCAACATTTATTCAAAAAATATGGCAAATCTTAGTCATTATATGAGAAAACATTGTGTTTAATTGTGAAAGTGAGGAAATACGTAAAATCCTGGGAAAGTTTTTAGTTATATTAAGTTTTATATGTCGTTATAATTTCTTGAAAAAAGCATAAAGCAGCTTCCTGTGACTCTGTTTTCTCTAGACGACAATCAAACATCAAGTTGTGTCGTTTTAATGTTTTTTAGCCTTTCTTGTTTAAACAGGAACATATTTTGGTTTTAATGAGATATAAATTATAGCATTATAACATCATGATGCTGCCATCACCACCTGAGTAATGTTCTTTAATATTTTTGTTTCTTCAGTGGAATAGTATTAGTAATGCTAACAGACTGAATCTTTGACTGTTAAGAAAAGATAAAAATGAGTTAATAATCAGCTGTTTAATTAAATATTTAGCGCTGACGTCAGATTTTGGCGACTATTTAAAAACTTGACGATAATTAACCGACGAATTCAAGCGTCTAATTAATTGCAAGGTGAAGTTACTTCTTGTTAGACATCTGCAGTCGGGGTATTATTGGCTGCGTGTGACGAACGCCATCCTGTCTCTGCCGCCACGCGCCTGCAGTGGTACGGTTGGTTTTTAGATATCATCTCTCTGTGTGCCACTAGAGCCCAATATAACATTTTATCATCCGCAGCATAAACCCGATAAGTCCTGTCCCTGCCTGGGTGCCAGTCTCCTGGCTGCCATCATTACTCACCGTGGGCCTGACATGGCGCTCGCACAGCGCTCAGGGCATGTTGCACCGTTCGTGATGTGCCCTCATTCCTCCCACCCCATTAAATCAACTTTTGTGAGGGGGAGAAAAATGCAAAACTGCTGTTGAACAAGTGCTGAATTTAGAACAGCCGCTCGGCGCTGCGGCTGCTTATTCAGCTCACCTTGCTGAAGATTACCCGTCATTATTTCAGAAACGCTGGAAATTGGCGAGATGTGGGAGCGCTCGCTCAGACTCTAACTCTTTCTGGGGACTCTGGTGCCAGCTGGGATGTATAGCTGCTCCGTCTACCACCTAAGATTTGCTGAAGAATCACAAAATGTTTTTCTGCTGCAGCATTAATTGACTAAATTCAACATCTAGTTTGGCCTGGTTGATTCTAAAGGGTTTAACTTTAGTCGTTTAGATTGAAACGACTAATAAATGCAGTAATTTAACTGAAAAGTCTCATTAATTTTATAAATTCCTTCCACTCATGACATATTTTAGTGTTTTGTTTCTGTTAATTTACATGATTAGGGCTCATTTATATTGTCTTATGGGGCATAAATGTTTTATAATGCTCTACAAAGTAATAGGGAAGACTTTTACTGAAATCTGGCTTTTCAAAGTGCTGTAATGGAAAGCTAAGTGGAAGGAAAAACTGTACACAACTAACAGGAAAGTAAGAGATATAATTTAACGTAAGAGTGAAGGTTATAATTTTACTGAATGAAAGATTATTCACAAAATATGAACATTTAAAACTGATAGCAAGTTAGCAAGGTAAAGCAGAATGGCTGACTCTAAAGTGTTGCCTTTAAAATATGGCAGTTCAACTTATTTTTGCAAATCTACATTTGTCACATGAACCGATGTGAGAAAGATTTTCCATTACGGATGGTGACACGTTTAGCTAATCATAATTTAGCCTCAAAATAATCTTTTTTTTAGTTGATGCTCATCTGCCCCCCTTTTTAAAGCCACCCTGGGCAACTGCCAATGAGTACAAATAAAAGAAAAAACATAAAACTAAAGCAATATTATAAAAAAGTGAGCCAAACTGTGTTATAAAGATGTTAAATGACAATTGTTTTAATACATTTGAGGTTAGATTTGAGTCAATTTTGTAAATAAAGTGTTTTAAAAAGCTAAATAAGTGAAATGTTTAAATATGTATTTTTTTTATCTCAATATTCAACAATATTATTGAATAAAGCATGTTTCCCTCTTATCATTCAGCCCTACAATCGTGTCACAAGGACCCTAATTCATTATTAAGCCCGTCTTTTCCACATGAGACAAAGCTCTGTTTCCCTCTCTCTCACACCTGTGAACTTATTCACATTAACTTTTGGTTTGGCGTGAAGTTATATTGAAAATTCATCACCTCCTGTGATTTTTTTTCACAGCTTTTTATGCAGATTGATGCCCTCTATCCCAAGAGGTTTGGAACGTGGACAGACTACGCCAAGAAATACTGCAACGCCCATTACAGGTGACATTTTCCAAATGTCTTCATATTCTCTAATTGTGCCAGGTATAATATGTGTGGTTTCCTGAAAGCCTGCAGCCATTTGCAAATCACTAGAAACTCATTTCTGTGCTTTAAGCTAACACATTTAGCAACGCTCTTTTAAAATGAAAGTAATGCCTCCGTGCCTTGATTATGTTTTTGACTTCTGCTAGTAAATTCATTTCAATCTATTTCTTTCTTATACAAACTTTTACAGTTCTTCACAGTAAAGTTGTATTTTAACCTTAAATCTCTAAACTGAGTCATTATTAGTTTATTGTTTTCCTGTTTGTGTCACTGTTTCATTTTCAACTTCTGATCTGGAAAAAATGAACTGGAATTCCCTGAAGTCGGGGAAAGTCTGAGATTTGTTGCCTCAAATCCAACATGGCTGCCATTTTTATTAAAAAATTAGTGAAAGTTTTGTTTTATAATTTTTGTTTCATTAAGTAATTGGGGCACTTTGTTTTTGTGAACATGTTCATCTCATGTTTAGCTTAAAAGGATGAAACAAAGTGAAAATTGCAGTTTTTAGCTTGTATTGCTAACAGCAGTTAGCATCCTCATTGTCCAGCTAGCATACGAATGGGGGCCCATTTTGGACTTTTCTCAGGCCGAGTTGGTATTAATTGGGCCTAGACTCAAAAAGGATTTTATTTTGGGTCCAATTTGTTTTGCAGAAATAAGAACCGTATGGGCTGGATACAAATTTGTGATGATTGAATCTGTTCACCTTAAAAAACTCATCAAGAATCACTATGGCTGCCACTTTTTACCTAAAATTGTCCTACATAAATTTTATATTCTGTGTCAATATGGGACCATTGTGTGACCTGCGGACAGCCCCATTTTCCATCTATAATCTCTGCCTGTAATTATGTGGCAATAGTTAGCAAATCCTGCTAGTTTCAACCTCAGACAATGTCCAGATATGCTTTTGTTATGAACTACAAACCACAAAAGTGTAATTATTGTTTTTCTTTTACTTGTTTTAGTGAAGGAATTTTTCATTGAGTCTTTATTTCTGGTTTAGAAAACATTTTAGCAAAGTTTTAGCAGACCCTCACCTTCCAGAGTGGAGTGGATTTGCTGCTCATTTAAGGGATTGTTGCAGGAACCAGGCCACCAGTGAAGCCAGGCGGTCGATGCCAGCTGGCGCCGAGTTCTCGTAGCCGGTGACGATCAGTTACACGTGTGAACAAACGCATCAAACGCATCGCTTTGGACGTCCATCAAAGTTATCAGCTTGGTCAGGGACGGAACAGAGGGCCATCAGTGGTAACACTTTGTACATGACGGCTGGGGAATGCCGTTCTGAGACAGACACAGAGGAGGACACGGAGCGGTACCACTCATGAAAGCGAAGTTGGAGTGAGCAACTGGAGCAATCTTTGGGGCAGAGAAGCGGCGTCGCTTCATGAACTTGCTGGCTTTAAACAACACATTTTAGAAGGAGTAGTTTTGCACCTTTCAACAACAAAAACTTTAAACACTGAAGTGTGAACCAAGTACTTTTGGCAGCTCCATGTGAGGCTCGTCCACTCTTTCAGCCAGCATGGCAAATAACCAGCCTTTTGTGTGGACAGCCAGTGCTAACAATTCAAATTCTAACAAATCATTTGGCTGATAAATTGTTAAAATGTGATGGTGAGTTTTGTGACGAACCCCTCGGCTTAGAAATCAAACAAAATAGTTTTTTAGTTTTTGGCTTTGCGGAGTATCCTTAGGTGAAAACTGGGGTGCTTCAGCAGAGCGGCTCAGCAGTTAATCAGTGAGCCGGTCAGCTCCCGAGAGGGAACATTTAAAAGTGTCCACTGTTCTTTGCAGAAGTATTTAACCACAAACCTCAGCATATTTGAGAATCTACTGAGATAAACCAACACAAAGCAGTTCCTTATTGTGAATTAAAGCATTTTTTTCAAACATCAAAACTAAGGTTATATGATATTTGTGTGCAAAGATGGTGCAAAACGCGCAGTTTGAATGAATATGTGGATTCTATATAGACTGGAGACAGGATGTGGACTATAACACAGGGCATTCTGGGTAAATACAACCAAAACAAATGTGAGTCTGAGAGTGGGAAAAATGTCTTGTAGTCTTTTATCAAAGACAAATCCTACAAATGCTATAATCTCCATTTTTGTTTACATTTTATGAAGAAGAAAGTGTCTTTAGAGGTTTTTGTGTCGTTTCCCCCAGCGGTTCTTGTTGCAGCGCCCCCACAGGCGAGGAGGGGAACGGGTTTTTGAAATGGTTTGGATCGTTTGACAAAAAAAAAAGTGACTTATTGTCCAGAAACTACAGTAAATCCAATTGAGAATATTTGGCAAAACTAAATTTGCACTTCTAAATCCAGCTGTTTGCTAACTGTATAATTATCCTTGCACTACTCTACTAAAGTTTGTGGATAAACACTAACAAAATGTGCAACTAAAGTGATACAAGTACAAGTTTCAGAATATAAATACCCTTTCACTATCTGTCTCTCCAGGTATTTTGGGCCTCGCAGGCAGTGGGACTGTCGTGGTGCGTCCAACCTAGAGGAGCTGCACCGGCGGCTGAGCCAGATCATGATCCGTCGACTTAAAGCCGAAGTTCTGAGTCAGCTGCCTCCGAAAATCCGTCAACGCATCCCCTTTGACCTGCCCAAGGAGGCTGCCAAGGTGCTCGGTTTGACATAACTTTGATAGATCTACTGTTGGCTGCGGCATCTATCACACGAAATGAAATAAATTGTTCTCGCTTGTTCATACTTTAAAAAGTTTCTACCTCCGTCTTAAGATTTATGACATCTCTCTTTCAGCCTGAGCCTCGTCCTGCTCCTCCATCACAAAGAGGATATCGGAGTATTTGTAGAGTAAATGTCACGCCTCATGCGTGGGCGTTTGTCTCTCTTTTTGCTTCCCCAAAAGTTGCGGCTGCCGGTTTCCCGCCTCCCATGCCGCGTCGCTTTCTGTCTGAATCCACGTTCGGATGCTAACACAACCTTGACCTTCGGGCTCCGCCGTTCTGTCGGTTCAGGCCCCCGTTGGGAAACAATAACAATGCCGGCGTCCACCGGGCAGCTTTTGTTGTATTTTATATCATATCAGCAGGTGAGGGGGAAACAGTGGAGGTGCTTTTTCAGCGGTAATTAACGTTCGGAGCTGGGAGTGACACCACAATGAGGAGGTTGCTCAGAAAAGTGATGATGCGGGGTTTTTATCCCATTCTCCCTAAATGCTAAGGGACGCTTTAATTGGGAGCTAGAAGTGGTTTGTGTTGCTACATAGCAACAACAATTAGAGCAGGGAAAGTTCACGCTGCGCCTTGTTGGTGCTCGAATTTCTCCACTGGCTTTTTCTCTTTTTTTTTGCTTTTATATCTACTTGATGGATCATATTTGTCCGTTTAGGATAAAAGAATGCGTCCTAAAGCGGCTAAGTGGAGCGGTTTCAGGAGGTAGGAAATGGAGGTGTGAAGAGGCCAAATCCAGCACTATTGTGCTTCCAGAGAGCAGCGAAATCTGCACAATATGTGAAACATAAAACACAGAGAGGACATTATTTTCATCCAAACAAGCTATCCTTTGAAGCATAGTTTA